ATGACGATTTTTAAAATACGTTGATTAAAAATTTTCTTATAGTAATTTTTCGCTTTAAGAAGTGAACAAAAAGGTGACTTAATGCATATTGTAAAACCTCTCTAAGTGCATACTCTCAGGACCTGACTTTAACAGCGTGGACTTAGAGTACAATAAAAAAAAGTATATTCATCACGTTAACATAAATAATTTTCGGTTTTCTGTCAAAATTATTGTTACGTTCTGTAATCAATTTGATACATTCTTCAGTTTGAACGTTAACTTTTTTCAAATATTCAATGATCGTTGTATTATTCATAGAGAACATATTGAAGGTTATAGCAATTTATTTATTTTATGTTATAACAGAATAATGAAAATAGGTTTTTTTGATATAAAATAATAAATTTTATTGTTTATTAAAAATGATTATACACAACCGTAGCTACTTTTTTTCTGTAATTAATCTTTTGATTTTGTAATTGTTATTAATGTACTAATAATTATAAAAGTCCAATTTGTCTAATTATATAATTTTCAAGTAAATTTAATATAAAAACCAATAAACAATTTTTTTTAATAATAGTAATCATGAATTATATTTTATCTTTCAGCTTTAAATTATTATTATGTGTCAAGAAAATATTTAAATACAAAAACCCAATTTAAAAAATTGTAAATACGTTTAATATTATTATTTAAAATCGAAATACTTAAGAGAGGTCGCCATGTTGATTTAATAATTAGAAGTATATTAAATACGGAACTAACGGTAATAGAAGTTGTAGGTCCTCTGCATTGTAGAAATTATAAGAAAAATCAGTGGGATTTTAGAAGAGGTATTAGAGCTTGTAAAGATTCTTATGAAAAGATTGTTAATAATTTGGTCGAAAAGTATGGCAAATGACGCGTTTTATACTAGATTAAGGGTTAAAGTGAAACGGGTGTGAGATTTTTTTGATTTGCATGTATGATAATAAATAGATCTTTTGGGAACTTACGCGTTTGGAAAGTTACAATAGTTGTTTATTTGATTATAAATTGTGTAAAAGATGAGTTTCTAACCTTAAACACTATAATTTTTATTTATTTCAAGTTTTCTTATTTTCTCTTCTAGTTTTTCTGTATTTATCTTTAGGCTCTTTTCTAGTTTTTCTATTTTCTGTATGTTGTCATTTTCATTGTCTTGTATTTCATTATTATCACTAATAATTGTTGGATTTTTTCTGCTTTTTTAGTTTATCCAATTGTCCTTTTATTTCCTGCATTCTGTTCTCTTTACTATCAAGTCTTCTATTTGCTTTTTTATTTCTTCTAGTTCATTTTTTATCTCATTGTGTTTAGACTTTTTATATACTTTTTTTAGACCTTTTGATTTTTCTTTTACTATTAGTATTCTTATGCACACTTCTAGCTCTTCTAGTTCCTTTTTTATTTTTTGTATCCAGGTTTCTCTAACTGGTAATTTTCTATTTTTGACCAAATCTTGAACTTCATTCATTTTATTTATCGGTTCTATTGACTTTTCTATTTCATCCATCTTATTATCTGGAATTATGCTTGTTAGATTCTCTTTTTGATTTTCTAGTGTTTTTATCCTATCTATCTCCTTGACCAAAACTTGAATGTCTTTCATTTTTATTATCTGATATTTTAATGGTTCTATTAACTCTTCCATTTCATCCATCTTATAATCTGGAATTATGCTTTTTAGATTTTCTTTTTGATTTTCTAGTGTTTTTATTGTTCCATCTATTATTTCATTGATTTTTGCATCTGTGCAAGCTGATGTTCTTTTATGATTTTGATTAATTTTTTCTTTATATTCTCTATTTTATTTTTCTCAATCATCATTCCATGCCAATGCAGATAAAAAGAGATCAATGTCTCAACTTTATTCGGTTCTTTATCTCCAAGATATGCAAATGATTTGATAATAGATACACCAAGAATTATCCAGGCTATTAGTTCTTAAGGTAAGAAGATATTAGTAGGGGTGGGAAGACGATAGGAGTAAGAAGGAATTAGGAGAAGTGAGAAGGAATTAGCAGGGTAGGAGGTGCAAAAAGACATTAGAATTGGCAAAAAGAATTAGTGAGTTTTTTGCATATAACCATGCTTAATAACTTTTTTCTAAGAAAACCCTTGATTTTTTTTTTTTTTTTTTAAAAAGTTTTTTTTTTTAAAAAAAAAAAAACTAGTTCTCTTTTTTTTTTAAAAAACTTTTTTTTTTCTATAAAGAAAATATTACTTGATTTGAGAAAATAGTTAGCAAATACTTTCACATAAACATTAGTTATAATATTAAGCCCACCACCAAGTTTATATTACAATAAAATTTTAGAACCAATAAATATATCTTACTTTGATGAAGATAGTGAATCATTATTATCAGCAGAAACTACTACTAGTAGTAAGTCTTCTACATATACAACAAGATAATATATTATTCTAAAAGATTATTTTGAAAGATTATTAATGGTAATATCTTATATATTAATTTAATATATTTAAATATTTATACTTTAGATCATTTATATGGAAATAGTTTACAAAGGAAGAAACTAAAAATGGATTAGTTGCAGCATGCTCATTTTGTAATACAAACCTTAAAATTCAAAAAGATAGTTCAACTTCAAGTTTTAAAAATCACCTTGCTATTAAACATAAAAATAAGGTATCAGAGTTAAAAAAATCAAATATAACACCTAATGCTAATACTACTGTTTTAGATATGTTAAAAAATAATACTATAAGTTTTTTGAATTATAATTATATTATTTAAAATTATTTTTTTAAATATAATTATTTGTAATTACTAGAGTATAAATCATAATCATGAACTTTTTGATCTTAAAAATGAATTATTCAATCAGGCATTTTATATAATCAAAGATGAGGGTCTTAGAGATATATTTACATATTTGGAACCATGTGCAACATATATAATATTTGATTTGAATATTTTTTAAATTAAATACAATATTATTATTTTTATTTTCTAATTTATTTATTTATTTATTTTTATAGTACCATTATAAGATTTAATTAAAAGGCATATTACAAGCAATTTTGAGAAAAAAGCATAGTAAACTCCGAAACAAATTGCAAGAGGTTCCGGGTCGTGTGTCATTAACAACTGATATTTGGACAACAGACACTAATGATAAATCATTTATATCTATTACCATTCATTATCTAAATAAATCATGGTTGATGAAGCATCTTTTACTTGATTTCATCTATATAAATGGGCAACACATGGGTGTAGAAATAGCTAATTATATGGAAGAATGTCTTTGGTCATTAGAAATTATTTCAAAAGTAATAGCTATTACACATGATAATGCATTCGCAAATGATAAGTTTTTACAAAAATTTTCAGATTCTGTTTTACAAAATGGTATTTGGTTTGATAATACACAACAATCAATACGATGTTTCAGCTATATATCTTGCAATATAATGCATGTTTAAGAATCTAGAAAATGAAATTGTTAAGGTTATTAATTTTTATTTATACAGTCATCCCCCTCTATAGTCACCTCCTCTATAGTCACAACCTCAATATAATCACAGTTTTATTTTTACCAACCTTTTTTATATTATTTATATCTCTATATAGGCACAATTGCCTTATAGTCACTATCACATTTTTTGTTAACTAATCATATAACACTTATATAAAATTACCCTCTATAAAATCACACAATAAATAAGTAACTACACAAAATAAACCAGAAGCAATGAATGTAAGCTTAATTAGAAAATATTAGACAATTCCGATACAAAATAGTTTTACATATATAGTTTGAATTTAAATAAATAACTATCAGATGTACAACTAAATACAGCATAATTATATTGATATAAGACATTCTAATTTAAACAAACAAGAAATTTCTTAAAAATATATAGATTGTAAAATATCTTTCTATAAAACATAACATGCCAATCCACTAAATTTTCTAATAATAACCTTAATAATAATGCTAGAACAGATATTAAAAGTAGAGGTAGTATACACCCCATATCATAAGGATCTGGTCATACTAATGCATAATTTAGACAGATGCAAACTAATGCTTAGACAAATTAGAAATAAGTTAGTCATGGCAATAAAATGTCCAGATCACATGATTAATGATCGCTTCCAGCCTCTCTAACGTAGCCCGATAAATCATATTTATACAAAAATTAAATTAAATACATTTATTGAAAGTTAAACAATACTAATATTTATTTAAATTTAATGTAGCTTTTGATTTTATCAGGTATGTTAAGAGGCCGGAAGAGATTGTTAATCGCGTAATCTGGACATTTTTTTGCCATAACTAATCTATTTACAAATTAGACCAATAAATAATCGCTAAACTTAGAGACTAAGGGTACTCTCAATGTGATTATAAACTGAAATAACGCATACTGTAAATACTATGATTAATTGAGGCAATACTTACTGTAATTTTGCTGAAGATTCATAACGCGAATGCAGTTAATAAATTTTAGCCAATCAAACAAGTTTATAAAAAAAAAGGTGGTTTCAAAGCGATAATGAATCTACTTACTGGTTAAACTGCTTTCTACTATGAGCCCCAAAACCCGAACCACCTATTGTAGCTTCATACGACCAATGATTACAGGTCAAGTGCAATATTCAATTTATCAGATTTAATGAATTTAACAAATTTAACAAATTTAACCATCATTTTTCTGTATTTATTGAATTTGCCCTAAGAAAAATAAGTTCTGTTTGCTTACAATTACTGTCCCTAAATAAAATTACCCACTTGACCTATATACTTTTTAAGCACCTAAATAATTCTCGATCTACTCAATACTTTTACCCGATCGATCACTAAGTGCATAGTGAAATATCATTGCTTGTTAATTGTCTTGCTCATGTAACTTCATAGAAGATTGCTGTTTAGTTGATTCTCGATGTACTGAGGACTTCTGTGGTTATTGTTGTCAAACGTACTGTGGGCAGTTGTAATTATTGTGTCCAGTTTGAAGTCCAAGAGGGAGGACCAAGCCATGGTTTTCCAACATTCCAATATACTGTGGACTGTTGTGATTGTTTTGTTGTCCGGTTTGAGGTCCAAGGAAAGATCCAAGTTATGGTTTTGTTGCAGTGTTGGTAGTGAATAGATAATAGAAGCGTTAGTGTATTTCTTTGAGTTCCCAATACAAGTCAAAGAAGACTTATCTATGACTCAAACACTCACTCGCCAAATCTAAATGCCTCTTTTCGACTAAGCCGATTGTTGGTTACATGATGACCTGGATTAGTTTGGCGACTGACTTGCCGATTACTGGTGTCACTACCAATTAAAATAACCTTAACCATATATGAGAGCTGTACGGAAAAAACTTGTAAGTAAAATTTTATTCATTAAAATATTTATAATTTTGACCAATCAAATTTCAAGATCAGCCTAATCTTGAAATTTGTTTGGTCAATATTTTAACGAATTAAATTTTACTTACAGGTTTTCCCTGTGCAGCTCTCATATTGTAGTCATCACCAAAGATCGAATTTCAAAATTTTTAACGTTTCTGAGAGATCGGCAGAATGATTTTTGGTGCGTATTTACACCTATCAGAGGATATTGGTTCTGATAGACATATCAGATATTTGATATTTCTATCAAAAGTATTGGATATCTGTTATGCCTATCGGAACCAGTATCCTTCTGATAGGTGAAAAATACATGTTAGTTATCAGACATATTGACATATAATATTCTGCTGATCTCTAAGAAATGTTAAAATTCAACTTGTACACAATAATAAGTTCCGTAACAGAATATATTCACAATAAAAATCACAATAATCCTAGTGCAAACTAACACAAGGAAGTTCTGTAATAGTAACTTGTAGTGAAAATTACAATTATAATTTAATAGCGAAATTAAAATAAAATCAAATTATAGTTAGATGATTATCAATTTATCGTTAAAATTAAACTATAACTTATTAGATAGATTTTTAATAGTATTCGCTAATTTTTTCTTTATATTAATGACCAACTATGATCTCTATAATTGAAATATAGCATAACTTGCTTTATTGTTACTAATTTAATAATAAACCAGTTGTAAATTTGCAGCTTGAAACAAATTGTATTCCAAAATACATTTATTACATAGCAAAATTTATAATAATTTTAATGTGAACTAATTTAATTTTAACCACTTATTGCTATAGTAAAAGTTCTGTAATAGAACTTTTTATAATAACTTAATTTTATTTAAAAAAAACGCTAAATAAAATAGGTGGCATATAAGTGCTACTCATTAAACTAGAGATAAAAACTATTTTGTAATATAAATGTGACTATATAAAGATTACCTTTATGTTAATCACACCTCTTTATAATCACGGATTTTTGCATCCCAAAGGTGTGACTATAGAGAGAGATGACTATATATGTATTTGCTTAATTTTTATTTTAAATTTGGCAGTCTTGCCTTCACTTTATTAGGCTTTGTAATAATTATAGAGTTATACTCCATAGTAATGATATGACCCGGTTAGACAATAATCGGGTAACCGAACCGAACCGAAAAAATCGGGTGACCCAGTTAAGCAAAAGCTTAACCGGTTAACCCGGTTATTTGGTTGATCTGATATAATCGGTTGACCCGGCTGACCTGATATAATTGGTTGACCCAGCTAACCCAA